TTTTTTCCAACAACAGTGGATGCTGTTTTGTCCCTTGAGCGCTGCCTGGGGGCTGTTCAGCAATGGATGCAGAAGAATGGACTGAGGCTGACTCCGGTAAGACGAAGGTCCTTCGGGTGGGCGCCCCGGACATCCGTGGTCTGGGAAACTCCCTCTCTTTTTTGCCGGTGTGACTCTTGCAACCAAGAGTGTGGTTCACAGCTTGGGTGTACATCTGGACCCAGTGCTCACCATGGAGACCCACGTGTCGTCAGTGGTCCATTCCGCACATTTCCACCTTTGGCAGATTGCCCAGCTGCATCCCAAATTTGATGTCGGGGCGCTCACCACTTTGGTCCATGTGCTTGTACTCTCAAGCTTAGATTACTGTAATGTGCTCTACTTGGGGCTGCCTTTGAGATTGACGCGGAAACTTCAGGTGGTGCAAAATGCTGCGGCCAGGCTTCTAACTGGGGTGAAGAGGCACCAACATATCTCCCCCACGCTGGCCGCCTTGCATTGGTTGCCCTTTCGTTTCCACACTGATTTCAAAGTTCTTATGATTACTTATAAAGCCGTAAACGGTTTAGGACCTCGATATCTGGTAGAGCGCCTTCTCCCAACCAGTTCTACCAGAGCCACTCGTTCTAGCCAGGCCAGGTGATTGAGGGGCCTAACGCGAGGCCTGTAAGGAAAGAACGAGGAACCAGGCCTTCTCGGCAGTGGCCCCTTGACTCTGGAACAACTTGCCCCTAGAGATCCATCTGGCTCCCTCTCTGGGTGTCTTTAGAACTAAACTAAAGACATGGCTATTTAGGCAGGCTTTCCCTCCTGCTGTATTTTAATATCTATATTTTTACACCTTTGATTTTCGTATGTTATTGGTTTTATAGTTTTTAAAACTCTGTTATGCTGCCCAGAGTAGATTGTCTGTCTAGATGGGCGGGGTATAAATCTAATAAAATAAATAAATAAATAATGTAGTAATTTGGATCTGCATAATAACTGAGGAAAATTGTCTTTGTATTTCAGGTCATTGCCTGAAATCTTTCTCATGCAACTATGTCTGTGGAAGATTGATAATAATCAGCAATGGGTGATTTTGTTGTCTTCTGTGGCTCCTATATAATCCCTTTCATTATTTGGAAACCATGGGATCAAAGGGATGGGAGGAGGAGGAAATCCTTAATTACTGAAAATTTATGCCATTAGTAATGTCATCTTGGCAATCACAGTTCTTTCATAGTTAACAACTTCCTTTTTCTACCCCGTGCCTCCCACGGCTGCTGGATTATAAGGATCCAAACAACATACCCTCTAATTTTCAGCCTCACTGGGCTGGGCTCCGCTTCTCTCACACAACTTTGCCCCTTTGTGCGTGACTGTACCCCCGCCCTCTGTGTTCGGGGTTCCGTTGCAACTGGAACCAAAGATGCTGAAAATGATTGCTGTGTGGAGGAGGAGGAAAGCTGCCTGGAGTAAGGTAGAGTTGTGCGCAGGCGCGCACCTGAGGAAAAACCTTGGAGCCAAGGGAGAAGTACAAAGTGTTTTGTTTCCCAGTTGCCCCTTGCTGATGTCATAAGACTTTGGCAGTTGTAGTTACATAAACAGGATTTCAACCTTTGTATTTTGAGTGTAGATTGCCATCAAGCATTTTTTTATAACTCACTAATAACTTTTTCCCAATTATTTGGAGGGAGCAGTGAAAAGAAATCAGGGTATGTAATTCTGAGAACTAAATAGCATGAATGAGATTTAACTCATATCATCTAAGTTAATTCAGTGTTTTGTACATTATCACCAGTGGTAAAAGTATCAGAAATGTTTATTTCAAATGTTTCTTTATAATTTGCTAAAATTTTTTAGGTCAGTGGAAAGACCTTTTTACCCTAAGACAAACTATGACCAGAAGATACCTTTGGTTTTGAAAAAAAGTGGTTCAGAACCTTGCATCCCCAGATGTTCCCCAAAACTTGTCTTTCAGTATTGCATTCTAAAATGAATGCATTGTAAAGTTGAGATACTTCATTAGTTAAAACCTAAATCATTTACAATAATATTTTGCATTATATATAGCCTTTTATAAAGACTGTAGCAATGTTAATGAGTAGCTGCTATGTTGTCAGATGGAAAGAGTTTAAATGATTTTATTTATTTTATTTTTCTAGTCTGTCTCATCTTTTCGATTCAGAAAAAGCAGCTCTTCCTCGGGTTCTCCGTCGAGACGCAGTGGTAGCAGATCTAGATCAGGCTCTAGATCTCGTTCACCTGGTCGGCCAGCAAAACATAAACGTCGTTCTTCTTCCCAAAGTAGAGAGTTGAAAAATGAAAGAAATATGATTGAGGAACCGAACTTGACTCCTTTGGTATTTATTTTTATTCAAACATCTTCTGATACAGTCCTTTTTTCTATCTTGGTGTTCCTGTATTCCTATTTTACATAATATTTTAAGACATATGCATAAAATATTTAAATACCTGTTGTGGCGATCAACCCTTTGTTGCCCCTTACTTCTTTGGGCCCCACAAAGGAACACACGCCCTTTTCGCTGCCACCAGGTATTCTCTAATCCCACTTAAAGTCCCACACAGGAGGTGCCCCGCCAAAAAAGGTCATATACTTTAGGAGGCAGGGTTTATGATTGATTAAGTATTCTTTTATTGTTATTCAACAGGAAAATCATATGTGAGTTGGTTCAGGTGTTAATACTTTTAGATCATGCAGTCAATCACTTTACTATCAATTTTATATCTCTCTTGTTATGCTTCATTCCTGCTTGTTACGTGTGTTTTACTTTCAATTTTTTCTCCTAAACCCCTTTAATCTATTCCTAAACCCTAACACTCTCTATACATCTTCTGGTCCCTAACTCTTTCTATCTCTCCCTAACTCCAACTGTCCCTTCAACTTCCTAACTGTCACTCCAGCTCCGCCCCTCCTGCTCTATCCTTGGCTCCTCCCCTTTTTTGCTGTGATGGACAGGCAGGAATGACATCACCTTTTTGGATTCCACTACACCTGTATTCAGTTGAAAACTTCAGAATTTCCTACGGGGGAAAGGACCTCCTCACAATGGGTTGTCCTGCCCATTCATTCACCTTGATAGACAAGATCTTAAAACCAATCTTTTGAGCTCCCAGCTCCCTTCGATTTGAGACAACCAGGGAATTCTGTCTTTGTACTGTGTACACCTGGATAACTTGTTTCCTTGTTTCCTCTACTTGGTTTAGGTTTGAGATTTAACATTGTAATAGCACTGGTCACCTCTTAGATGTTTATACACTATTTTAAAGTTCTATGAGAAGAAAGCAGTAGCTTTTTTCCTACTAAAAGTCAGGTTGGAAAGATTAGGCAGAGACGATTCAGTGATTTTTACTAATCCATTATTTATTGATATTGTATGAAGGATTGTTTGCAAAAGCATATAGATAAGGCAAATAAAGAAACATTCAAACAGCTTGAAGAGAGACTATTTATTCAATTACATATATTACGGGTGTGGTCTGAAATAATGGGAAGAATGCAAAAGAATTCTTGTAGTTTCATCATGCATGTAAAATAAATCCTAATGCAAGATGATAAAAGGTTGTATTAAATATGGTAGGCAAACAAGCAATACTCCGCTCCTAAGCAAACTACACCAGAGCACAGAGTGCTGTCCTCTGAAGATGATGGCCACAAAGACTGGCGAAACGTTAGGAAGAACAACCTTCAGAACACGGCCAAAGAGCCCGAAAAACCCACAACAACCAATACAATACAGTCTTTGAAAATAATGTTTTGTGATTTTCATTTAAGATATATTGGTATGGTAACAATAAGATCCTTATATTAATTCTTCTGTGATTCTTTCTTAAAGAAGAACATTATTGCCTGGAATGCTTTTGGATTTTATTGTTCTGGTCTGTAATAAATTTTGCACATAATTAATAGAAAGAGACAAAAAACAAATTTCTTCCTTCTCTCAGGTTTAACAGTTGTTAACTATCTGAAATTCCTCCAAAAGAAAGACTGAAAGTTTGTCCCTGATATGTCTGGGAAATCAATGCTTATGTAATTTGCGTCTGGAATTTTTATACTCTGATAATTAGCTTCGTCATCAATGACTTTTACTGATTTTACAATGAGCATTTATAGCCGAATCTTTCTTTCTTTCTTTCTTTCTTTCTTTCTTTCTTTCTTTCTTTCTTTCTTTCTTTCTTTCTATCAGAGTGTTGCACACTTTAGAATTAAAGATGTATATGGAATATACATTAACAACAAATTTAAAATTCATTAGATAATTTTGACTAAAAGTGGGCTAAAAAAACACCTCTCCAGCAGCACCACATTTAACAGTTGTTGTGTTGCCAACCTGAATCAAAATTACTTCGGGTGTTTTACTAAAGTCAAACTGACTTTAAAATTTGATTCAGTGGTAATGTGCCAAACATCAGTAGTTGTGAGGGTAATCAGTAATGTTTTTGTCTAATCTGTTCTTGAAAAAATATATTGAAATATGCCATTAGTGAAACATTCATTTTTATTACACTCAATCCAGAAACTTCAGGAAAACAATACCAGCCAGTATAACGGGGATCCAGACATAACAGAAGTGGATTACTTGACTCACAGCATCTTAGAGGTATGAAATAAAGGAACAGCATATGTTTTATGTATACTTTCATTGTTATTAGAGATACTCTGGATGTCTACCCTTAATTACTCATTAATTCTTTAAGAAAAAAAGAGACTCTGCATTGAAGTTGTTTGAGATGAAACAGAATACCAATTAAAGAAGTGGCTTGGGTTATGTTGTAAAACCAATGGTCAACTTTCTGCACTTACATTCTATTAATTTATGAAATGTGTTAGGTACGAAATAGCAGCGTAGGGTATTGGACAGAATGTTTGGAGTCAGTAATATTTGAACCAAAACCTAAATGTGGTATGTACAATTCAATGGCTCCTCCTCTCCCCATTTATGTTTCAGCGCCAAAGAATTGAATCTGAGCAAGCAAGAGAGCGCATTCTGGAACGATACAGGTTGCATCCAAGAAAAGAGGAGAAAAGAACAGAGGAAATAGATTCAGAAGAGAAAATTTTTGAGACACCAAAAAGTGTTGGAAAATCATGCCAGAAGACAAAAGAACTAGAATTTGGAGGAAATATTGGTATGATTGTGTGGGACGTATTTAGTTATAATTGCATGTCATTCCAAAATTTTACATGAACTGCAACACTCATGTATCACTAGAGTAACTGAAATCTCAGTTTGCTTCACTGGAGAGAATGCTTGGAACATGCCCGTACACTATCTTCATTTTGATCAGGTAGGAGGGTTGGAACCTCAATTTTATGGGATTCCACAGGCATCTGTATAGATTATTTGGGGCAATCTTTCTGTCTTCCCCTAAGTACTTAGTTTAGTAGATATTGTCAGAAAATTTCGCTACTTTCAAACTGGGTTTGTGCCTCTAGAGATACACACTTTATGCAGAAGACACTATCTTAGTTGTGTTTTCCAGATCTGACTGAAATTACTCCTGAAGGTTTTTGTGTGTGTGTGTGTGTGTGTGTGTGTGTTTCAACATGATTGCATGTGGGAAATATTTGAAAAACCAGGATTACTTTCAGTAGTTTCCTTATGAATGATGCTGATCGTTTTACAGTGCCAATTCTAGTTGTTTTCTCCCTCCAACTCCGCATATACGAAGTCAAGTCTTTATATATTTCTCTGGAGGTGCATTTGAAATTAATTATGATTTTTCCTCCTCAAAAGTGCACTCCTGGTTTCTATACCCTGGATATATATTTTTGCAATGGATATTTTTCATGCTGTCCCAGTTTAGGTTTTCTTCAGCTCAGTTAACCCTTTATTGACAATTTTAGCCTCTGAAAGCACGCACATATTGAATTAAGAGAAAATCAGTATTGGTAAGGGAATTATGAAATGCATTGTGAAAAAGGTTACAGAAAGCAAAAGTACAATTTTGGAAGAAGAAAATCACTTGATAAATCAAGTCTTTCTGAGTAGTGGATTTTTAAGAAATAATTTTGATATTTAATGAATAGAATCATGTTTCACAATTATGCATGCTTATAAAAAGAGAAACAAAATACATTTAACTGTAACCAAATAAAATAAAGAGTAGAATAAGATACTCATACAGTATTGATCATGTTTCCTGAGGAGGGAATTAATTAATGAGTTAAATCAATTTTGATTTAAATTCGATCCACTCTGTAGTTAATGTTGAGCCTCACATTGAGAAAGTGCTGGAAAATTAGTTCTCCTCTTTGAGATATTCAGTGAAATGACTCCCTCTTTTCTCTTCAACAAATGGGGGCGGGAACATGTGTAGCTGTACTTTTGTTACATAACCTAATGCTATATGTCTTATTGGATATTTAAATTTTATTAGTATTGGCTGGAAGTCAGCTACTTTCATTCTGAATCCGTGTGGCAATCTGGCAACCAAGAGCCTCAACATCAGTGGTTACTAAACTTCTCCAGATTGTTGGATTTTGAGTTCTAGGACTCAATCAGTATGACCAGTGGTCAGAAATTCTAGGAGTTGAAATACAGTGGTGCCTCGCATTACGACGTTAATTCATTCTAGCGAAATCGTTGTAGAACGAAAACGTAATGCGAAATTAAAAAGCTAATTGAAACGCATTAAAACCCAATTAATGCGTTCCTGTGGGCTTGAAACTCACCTTCCAGCGAAGATCCTCCATAGCGCGGCCATTTTTGCTGCCTGTGCAGCGAGAAATCTGTCCCAGATAACAGCGGGGAGCCGTTTTTTTTACCCGGCGGCCATTTTGAAACTGCCGATCAGCAATTTTAAAATCGTCATTTTACGAGAATCGGTTCCCGAAGCAGGGAACCGATCATCGCAAAGCAAAAAAAACCCATTCAGACCATTGTTTTGCAATCGCAATTGCGATCGCAAAAAGATCGTCGTAATGCAGTTTCATCGTTAAACGGGGTGCCCGTCTTGCGAGGCACCACTGTACTGGTATTTAGGAACCAAAATCTGGGAACTCTAGCTCTAAATAGAAACATTTTGTGCAGTTCATACACCGTATATTCCGTGTATAAGACACTCTCATGTAGAAGATCCCTCCCACTTTTCTAATACCAAATGTCTTTCTTCGCAAGAAAGTGGAGGGGGAAGGCAGTGATCAAAGCACTTTGATGATTTCTGCTTTCCTCCTCCACTTTCTTGCGAAGAATGTGCTTTTCCACTCCACTATCTTTGCAAGAAAGTATAAGATGATACTTTTGTCTAAAATCTTTAGATTAAAAATTGAGGGTCATGTTATACACAGAAGTAAGTGTGTTGATTCCTGCTTTCCCCCTCCACTTTCTTGTGAGGAAAGTACTTTCCCCTTCCATTGTCTTCACAAGAAAGTGGAGGGGGGAAAGCAGGAATCAAGAAAGGAATCATCAAAGTACTTTGATTCCTGCATTCCCACTCCACTTTATTGCAAAGAAAATGGAGGGGGAAAGTACTTTCCTCACAAGAAAGTGGAGGGGGAAAGCAGGAATCAACACACTTTGATCCCTCCCCCCTCCTTACTCCTGTGTATAAGATGACCTTCAATTTTTAAGCTGAAGATTTTAGGCAAAAACATCGTCTTATACACGGAAAATAGTCTAAGGTACTCTTCTGTTTAAAAAAAGTGATGGTTAAGGTTCCAAGCATCCTGTGTATTACAACAGTCACAGTCAAATTCTTAGTAGCAGGAGTGGTAACATGACGTGTCACCTTGTAACAGAATTGCCAACAATATTTCTATTTGAATTAGGCTTCCGTTTGTTTCCTGTTTAATTTCTAATTGTGTGGTGGGTTGTTTTTGTGTTTTTACAGGTGCCTTTTTCATGGTCTTTCTCATGCCTGGAACTGTGTGTTACTTGTTGTTAATGTGCTCACAGGAAGATCCGAGTATTCTGAATTTTCCTTCTTCCCTGCCAGCTTTTGAACATTTATGGGAGACAAGAGTATTTGGTGTATTTCTTCTTTGGTTCTTTCTTCAGGCCCTGTTTTACTTATTGCCTCTAGGAAAGGTAAAACTTTTAGTGAGTAAATATTTGGATTTATATGCTGAGTTTTTAAAAACTCATTCTAATAATTCACTGCTGGTTGTTGTTGTTTTGTAATTATATTGGCTTCTGTATAGCAGCTCTAATAATAGATTGATAATCTGAGATAGATGATTCTTTAATAGGGATGGAAATGCCCATAACCATTTTCTTTGTTGCCGTTATTTCCCCCATACTACCTTAAGTCCATCTGTTTGGTATAATTGTTTTGCATCTCTCTTTGTTACACATGCAATTTTTGTTCACTTGCTTTCTCTAAGATCTGTTAGTTTAAGGATTGCTTGTTTCTCTGTGTGTTTGTTGAGAGTGCACTTTGTTAATGAGTAGTGTACAATAAAGCAATGCTTTATTTGCTGGATCTTGTTTCTGTCAGTGGGAGCCTTTTGATCCAGCAGATGTTTCCTATGAGCTTAAAGAGCAAAGAGGCAATAATTCTGATTCCGGTGAACCTGTCACATATGGTTCCTGAAAATTTGTTTTTGAGTTTTTCATAAACCCAGCCTTGGATCCCTGGATGTTCTTGGACTGCAATTCTGAGAAATCCTGGCCAGCTCAGCTAGCTGTCAAGGCTTCTGGGAGTTTTAGTCCAAGAACCACTGCTCTAGAGTGATGCAGAAGGTCTTGGGGACTGGAAAAGTCAATGAGGAAACAGTAAGGATCACCTTTCTTGCCCATTTCTGCTAATATGAGAAAGGGCATGTCATGTCTCCATTCAGATGTGCTCCTAGCAGCAGAATAGCACTGTAGATCCAACTTCTTTTGCTATATATCGTCAGGATAGATCTTTTGTAGTTAAGCAAATGCAATGCTAATCCAAATAGCACATCCTTTTGTGATTGATAGTAAAGTGGGTTTGTATAACTCCTGCATTTATTTCCCCAGATTGTCCCCATTTATTTGCAGGTGAGATGTGATTGTTCGGAAAAATCCACAGTAAAATCTGTATTCAGCAGTATTTAAACTGCAGTATTTAGGAATCGCTTTCATTTGAGCTAAACCAGTTCTACAAGTATAGAGCAGTAACATGATTTGAGTTTTCTGTTTCATAATATAATGTTTTGCTTTTCCACAACATCACTGAGTCAAGATAATGTACTGGAATTCTAGGTGGAAAGATTTGTTTGTGTGTGTTTTTTTAGGTAGTGGAAGGGACACCCCTTTTGGATGGATCAAGATTGGAATACAGGATAAATGGTAAAGGTCTTTTAATTTGAGTTTTTCATATGAATTTGGCATTTAATTTAATCATTGCAGCTTGACTCATGAAAATAATGTGGCTCTATTCAGTCATCATTCCAAGCTGTGCTAATCATAAGTTTAGAAACAAAAGCATGGCTATTGCATTTTGGTCTGTGGGTGAACCATCGTTTAGAGTTGCTTGTCTGTTTCATTGTATGCTTATGTTGTCTGTCGGTTTAGCATTCTCCATTGTGATGAGTGATGGTAATTACTTCTGTTTGCACAGTAATAGACACAGATGTTTTACCAATCCAGGCTTATAAATAGGTCCACAAACATTATTTGCACCTTTTTTTCTAGTAGCCTCCTTATAAGGGAGGCAGATCATAGGACCATTACAGATAAGCTTTTGTTAAAACCACTCGTATCTAGTTTTCCACAAAGAGACACCTGGGGCATTGATTTCCAAAATTTATTAATCAATGAGACACCTGTGCACCATTTTTCACACTTTCAAACAGAAATCCACTTTTAGCCCTAATTCTGTACCTACATATCTAGTAATAATACTGCTGAACTCAGTTTGTGTTCTATAGAGCAGTGGTCCTCAACCTTTTCCGGTCTGGGGACCATTGGGGGGGCAAGTGCCGTGCGCGGACCGGTTAACAGGTGGGGCACCCCCACACTCACGGGTGGGCGTGTCCCACTTCTGCTACCGTTCCCCCAGCGCACCTCACAAGAGAGCAGTGCTCCTTTCCTGCAGGGAAGCTGTTGCGGGCAGCCGGCCCGGGAAGCGCCAATGGCCAGTCACCGTGCTCGGCACCACCCCACCCAGGGCGAGCAGCCGATCCTGCTGCTTCCTGCCCAGCCGTGGCCACCTCTTCCCGGGCAGGAAAGGTGGGCTGGGCCAGGCTGCATGGGGCGCTGCTCCTCCTCCATGGAAGAGGTTCCAGGAGGGCGGCTTCCCCTCCGCTGCCGCCCCCGAGTGGGGCTCGCATTCTGGGGCCTCCCATCGGAGCCTCGCTCCTGCCCTTGCAGCAGCAGCTCCATTGCTCCTGGCGGCCCTGCCCGGGAGCCCTCGCCTCCTTCTTCTCCGGCAGGGGAAGCATCCCCTGTCACCGGAGCCCTGCTTCCCTCACCAATTGAAAGCGCTCAGCAGGGAGGGAGGGGGACGCGCCCGCCTTAGCTCCAAGACGCAGCCTGGGCGGCAGCACACTGTCCATCGGTGAGGGAAGCAGGGCTCTGGCAGTGGGAAATGCTTCTGCTGCCAGAGAAAGGGTTGGATAGAATGGTCTGTCATTTCTGGAAGCTGCCTGGGCTAGCCTCGCAAAGTTTGCTCCTCTGTCATGGTGGGGGTAGCTTCCTGGCAGCCCTGACCTCTTCTTTCTCTGGCAGCAGAAGCATCTCCCACTGCCAGAGCCCCGCTGCCGTCACCGACGAAAAGAGCTCAGCAGGGAGGGAGGGGGATTAGTCTCCTAGGTATTCTAGCGGCCAGTCCAGTCCAGGGTAAAGTCTGGGTTTAATAATTGTCCAGTCTCCCCCTCCAGTAGAGGTACTGTGTCTTCGTCCCGGTCATCTGTCTAGATCAGGTCCCGGAAGGAGGCATTCTCTGGCCAAAGTCTCCGAAGGACCTCTCTGCTGCTGCTGCATCATCAGCCATTCCAATCTCCCTCTGCTTTCCCTCTCAACCTTCTCTTTTCCCTCCCTCAACGTCTTCCTCCACTCCTTCGTCTCACGCTCCCCCCACGGGTCCTCTAGCCATATCAACTCCCAACCATGAGGCAAGCTGTCCTTCCCCCTCTTTATAGCCCCCAGCCCCGCCTCTACTTTTGCCCAGGACTGTAGTTCTTTTCCCACAAAAATATGCTCGCCTTCTCCAATGGACATTCCTCTCAATCCTCCCCATCCCCGGGCTTTACTCAAGTGGTCTAATCTTCCTGGGAGAGGAAATGGGTGGTGTTTGCACCTCCTTGTTGGCAGAGAGCGGGAGGGACGGCACTCCCGTGAGAGGGGCCTTGCTCTCACCGACAGCCTCACACCCACACTCACTGATAGCATACAGTGCTCAAAAGATTTTATGGATTGCAATTGAGCTCTGGGCTAGAAACAATTCTCCATCTGTGATGTACATCATTACAGTCAGAGGGTGCCATTACAGATTTTTCTTTTTTAAAAAAACAAAAAGTGAGAATTGTTGTTGTAGGTTTTTTGGGCTTTTTGGCCGTGTTCTGAAGGTTGTTCTTCCTACCGTTTCGCCAGTCTCTGTGGCCGGCATCTTCAGAGGACAGCACTCTGTGCTCTGGTTTAGTTTGCTTGGGTGCTGTCCTCTGAAGATGCCGGCCACAGAGACTGGCGAAACGGTAGGAAGAACAACCTTCAGAACACGGCCAAAAAGCCCAAAAAACCTACAACAACAATTCTCACTTTTTGTTTTTTTGGCCGCGAAAGCCTTCGCGAATACAAAAAGTGAGAATGTGAGATGGAAATTGCAACAAATTCTTCCTTTGCTAGAGAAAAGGATTTGGCACAGGCTAGTTCTGTGAGGAGGAAGCTGAGACAGAAGAGGCTAATGTTTGCTGTGTTTCCTTTTGCATGTCTTGACTACAAATGTAGCAGTCCTGTCCTGCTAGTTGTGATAACAGGTGCAGCTGTAGTAGATATTCTTGTTTTATCCAGAAGACCAAATTGTAATTTTGCACATCAGTTGCAAAGTCATAGTTTCTGATTTCCTTGTTTGCTACAAAACTTGTTTAAAAAATAGTGTTTTGCCAGTTCATGCATCACATTAAAGCATAATTCAGTTTCCTTAGCTATGATTAGGCAAGATGTCAACCTGGAATATAGTATAGGAAACTTAGTAAATTTGGGTGTACTGCCACTGTGTTTCAGAGCGTATTAGTTTATATCTATAATCTAGTTTATATATGTAAATCTATAATAGTGTAATTTTGTCTGAATTGTAATACCAAAAATGTTAATAGTAATTTTTTAAAAAAACAAATGGAAGTTGTATTAACTGTTCATGTCTTGTTTACTGTTTAGGATAATATTCTACAAACCCATTCAGATTTCTGAATAGATAGCTTGTCAAAGCATCTTTTGTATGATTTGAAAGCATTTTTGTAGTGTTTAAAGTGCTTTTGGTTCATAAAACAATTTGAGAACACAAAAGCTCAAATCAGTTTGTTAACTAAAATGTGTTTAACTGGCTGTAGTTGTATTAGGGATTTTAAGAGGTCATTGTAACCTGGTTGCATTGAATTCAGTGGAATTCCCTCGGATAGTGAGTATATGACTGCAGCCTTCAGTTTCCATGTTATGCAAAAATGCTGAGTAATAGAAAACTTTAAATATAGGCTATTCTGGCATGATCTTTGCTTTGCCCTTAGATGTACTGGCCAAAATCTTATTGCTTCCCGAAGTAAATTGCACTAGAGTAGACCAGTTGAATCATTTTGGCTTTGATGAGACAAGTTCTTAAAGTTCAAATGGGCATAGTCTAACTGTGATTTCAGCAAAATAAGGCGCAATTGGAGTGGGCCCATTTGCATCCATGGAACTTATAGAGGAATTGACTCACTAAAGTACAGTGGTGCCTCGCTTAGCGATTGCTCCGTTGAGCAATGAAATCGCTTAGCCGATGGGGTTTTGGCCATCGCCAGAGCAATCGCTTAGCGATGGCCCCTATGGGGAAAAATCACTTTGCGATGATCGCGGGGAAGCAATCATCACAAAGCCCCCATTTTCGGCCAGCTGATCGGCGGTTCCAAAATGGCCGCTGGAAAAACAAAATGGCCGCCCACTGTTTTGCCTCATGTTAGAGGCACCGAAAATGGCCGCCCCTATGGAGGATCTTCGCATAAGGTCAGTTTCTAAGCCCATAGGAATGCATTAAACATGTTTAAATGTGTTTCTGTGGGCTTTTTTATTCCGTTTAGCGATGAAATCACTTAGGAACGTTTTTCCTGGAACGGGTTAACATCGCTAAGCGAGGCACCACTGTACCATTGATTCAGTGAATCTACTCTAGCTTGGTTTACTATGCAAAGCAACAAAATTTTGGCCAGTAAGATACTGAGAAAAAGTTGACCAATCTCAGCCAAGCAAAAACTGGTTCTAAAACTTCACAGGTTTAGCTTCCAAGCAACAATATTTTAATAAAAATTAAGTTTTGACACATCCTGTTGTCCTTAGGATTACAAACAGTTAAGATACTGATTTCACAGGGAACGGTTTTCAGTGTTTCTGTTTGTTTACATAATTTTGATTTGCCTCATTTTAATTGTGTGGTTTTTGTCTCCCTTTAAGGGTTCTACGCTTTTATCCTCACAGCTGCTGCTGTAGGAATCTGTCTCTATTTTGAAATGGAACTTCAATATATATATGATCATTTTCAGCAGTTTGCTGTCTGTGCTACTGTTTTTTCTTTGCTGCTAAGCATTTATCTCTATGTCCGTTCCTTGAATGCTTCTGAGAAGGAATTATCAACTGGAGGAAATTCTGGTAAGTAAGCAAACAGTTGTGGAAATATTTCCTGCTTAGTTTTTGTCTTCTTTATTAATGCATTTTCTTTGTAGAAAACACTTTCATTGCCACCATTCATTTTCTTTCTCTTCCGCTTTTTCAACTTTCAGTGCAATAGTAACAGGAGTCATTTGATTCATTTAACTATGGTGAAAAGTTGTTTTACTTGTTTGAAGATCACTGCTGTAATTGGTAAATGGTGAAATATAGTCTAGAAAAACATGATCTGGTGCTTATTTCAATGTCTAGTATACTGTTGGAGATTTCCACATGCACAACTAACATTGCACAAGTTGTTATACTGTTTTGTGTGGTATCTGTTCTGTAACTTATTGTTCAGCCACCTCATATCTAAAATCAACTTATAAGAAATTACCAAAATATATTATACTTACGGGAAAAATGATTTTTACAAAACTGTCAGTAAATCCAAGACAAATCTGTATACACAGGATACATTCAGTATCACAAAAAGAAATAGTTAGCTATATAGTAATGGCCATTAAGTCAGTTCTGATTTTTGGTGACTCTTTTCAGAGTTTTCCAGGTACAGAATACTCAAAGGTGGTTTACCACTCCCTTCTTCTGGTGCAGCTTGTCCAAGGCTGTACAGACTGCCTGTACTTGCAGAGGAGGCACAGTGGGGAATCAAACACCCAACCTCTGGCTCCAGAACGAAATATCTAAACCACTGATCTATCCAGCTAACTAGTTAGCTATATACAGGTTAATAAAAATCAGTAATAATAAATTAATCAGTATTAATCAGGTTCATCAAACATGGGATTTGGGGGACTTTTTTCAGCACTAATTTCTACTGCTAGAATTCTTACAGTTTCAGCCCAAAAAAAAAAATCCCAAGTTCTCAGAGGAGATTCTGGATCCTCCCCTGTTCCTTGCCAAGACTTTCTCTGTAGATGACCATTAATACATGGTCTTAGTGGAGCTTTCTAAACTTAATGAGAACAAGCAGAACATTAGAGGAGTGGTAGTTTTTTGTTTTGTTTTTGAGAATCATCATCTGTAGCTACAGTTCCCAGCATTCAACAGCTAAAACAAAGTGTGTTGCTTATGTACTGCCCCAAGGTGCATAAAGCACTCTCTGGGTGGTTTATGATTTAATTATGCAGGCTACACATTGCTGCCACAGTGAGCTGTCAGTTTACAGATCTCAGAAGGCTGAGTCAACCTTGAGCCAGCTAACTATCTGAGCCTCTGGGGATTGAACTCAGATTGTGGGCACAATCTTAACTGCAATACTGCAGTTCAACCACTACACCAGTGGTTCTTAACCTTTTTGAAAGAAACGCCCCCTTGAGCCATTGAGGAAGTTATCATCGCCCCCCTCCCCACGGTGATGATATCTTATTTATTTGTTTGTTTGTTTATTTATTTAAGACACTTAAATCCAATGACCCCTGAAAACAAAATTAAATTCCAAGAAAATGAAATGCCCCCCCAAAAGTAACATTTAATGATTTAGTTGCAAGTGAATTTTAAGACGCAAAAAGAAATGTAAAAAGGGCATAAAAACAAATGCAGGAACTAAAAATTTCAAGACAAAAAGTCTGAAACTAAATTAAAATTGGAGGAAAATATATATTCATGCACACTGTAAAAAGGCTGCAGCCATCTTCACAGGTTTGGCTTGCTCCAGCGCCCCCCTACCGCCCCCTTCTGCTCCAGCGCCCCCACGCTGCCCCTTTTTGTTCTACCGCCCCCTTGAAAAATGAAATCGCCCCCTGGGGGGCATTATCGCCCACGTTAAGAACCACTGCACTACACTATGACATTCCTTAAGAAGCCTTCACCATTATCTTGCTTATTAAGAATCCCAGGAATTGTAATCCAATAACATCTGGAGACCCAGGGTTGGAAACCACTGATCTATAGGGAGTCATGAAAAAAGAGTCTACTACCCCCTAATGCTTTGCTGTTCCCATGGAGCTTAGAAAGCTTGTCTGGGCTTTCTGATATTCTAGCCTCCTACTGCTGATCTTACCACATTCACAATAGCTTATAGTGCAGAGCTTGAGAGGGAGAATTTTCCCCACTTTTGTTGTACTATGAGGATCAGATGAGCTCAGTGGGAAGAGGGAAAATGCATCTTGGTAACGGTTGGAAGTATACGGGAATATGAAAAATAAATTTGTAACTATTTTGTGTATGAATATACAGTTTAAGTAAAATCTTAGTTTTACTTAAATCCTTGTTTGTTTTGGGATGCTCTGCCTACAGAGTTAAAAATGTTATGTCTCACTTCTGTAACACATGTTTTATTAGACTATAGGGAATTACTTAAACTCTAATAAACTGGTAACAACACCTCATGGTGACATGGACATATTCTCACCATGATGGTGTCAGAAGGCAACTGACAGATTGTGTTTCAGTAACTGTAACAGACTACTGTTAAACTGTAATAAGAAAATTCTTGTGTTTAATTATGTTATTTATAATTTGGTTTAAAATAGAATCATTGATTTTTAATAAAGTGAAATACCAAATAATACTACAAGCCAGTTTATAATTTTTTCCCCCTAGGGAATATCATTTATGATTTCTTTATGGGACGTGAATTAAATCCTCGCATTGGAAATTTTGATCTAAAATATTTCTGTGAATTACGGCCCGGACTAATTGGCTGGGTAAGTAAAAGTACAAATGCATTGTTGGTGGCTGTAATTTTATAGATAAAGCAGTAAATGATATGTGATAACAAAGGAATTGAAATAATTGTGTGCTGAAAACATTAATGGCATCATGACACTGAATCATACATTATGAACAATTGCAGATATTAGCTTAGGTATACAGTAATTCCAGTACCTTGGCCATCTCGTGAGGCTCCAGTACTTTGGCCATCTCGTGAGAAGAGAAGACTCCTTGGAAAAGACCTTGATGTTAGGAAAGTGTGACGGCAAGAGGAGAAGGGGACGACAGAGGATGAGATGGCTGGACAGTGTCTGTGAAGCAACCAACATGAATTTGACACAACTTTGGGAGGCAGTGGAAAATAGGAGGGCCTGGCGTGCTCTGGTCCATGGGGTCACGAAGAGTCGGACACAACTGAACGACAATACAGTAATTCTGTAGGGTTTTTTTAACTTCTAAAAGTTAAAATACAGATATGGTAGGATACAAAGGTGAAATAAAGAATAGGTTAGTGGTGCCCTGCTAATACATAATTGAAACTCTGTCTGGGTACTTGGAGGGCCTCTTTGAGACAAATTATTCAGTGTTTGTATTTCTGATATTTTTTTGTAATATTGAAATTGACAGACAAAATAGCATTTCTCCTGATGTACTGTCTGACCAGTTGGCCAGCAGCAGCCCTATTCAACCTGGTAGCAGTACAAAAGATTAGTCAGTAAGTTCATGAGGATCAGTGCTGGAGGACTTCTGTATTCGAACTGGAATGGTCTTAGAAGAATTAGTGTGGCCTAACAGACTCTGCAAATCATGTCTTAGATCTGTTCTTTTTTAATGACTAGGAAGGAGAGGTTCTGGATTGTGCATCTGAGAAGGGTAATTTAAACACCACTATCGAGGTGCTGGAGGAGGTTCTTGAGAGTCCTCTGGACTGCAGAGAGCATAAACCTATCATTTCTAAAGGAAATCAACCCTGAGTGCTCACTGGAAGGACAAATCCTGAAGCTGAGGCTCCAATACTTTGACCATCTCATGAGAAGAGAAGACTCCCTGGAAAAGCCCCTGATGTTGGGAAAGTGTGAGGGCAAGAGGAGAAGGGGATGACAGGATGAGATGGTTGGACACTGTCATTGAAGCTATTAGCATGAATTTGACCTAACCCCAGGATGCAGTGGAAGACAGGAGGGCCTGGCATGCTCTGGTCCATGGGGTCACGAAGAGCTGGACATGACTAAACAACAAAATCATAATCAGACCATTTTCTTGGAAGTTTTGGACTTGCTATAATCACTCCTCTTTGCACAAGTGATGTAGTGGTTAACATGACCCACTCTCAAAGGCTTTGGGATTCCTAAATAGCTGGGATAATTGACATGGCTAGTGATCATTTGAGTCACTGATTTTACTTTGGAATGGAGACTTCAAGAGTGCTGTTAATAGTTTTTCCTAAGCCTTGTTATCCTTTTGAGATTTGATAGGAATCGATGATGCAGCAGGTTTTAATGGCTTGAAAACAAGTGATGGTAATTCTCAGTGGGAATTATTATGCCTACCCTGCCACAGTAGCAACAACAAAGAAAGTATACTTGATTTGCACAATTGCCTCCTCAGTTGGCTGTCTAGCACTGTGTTCAGGTGGTAAAACAGTTATTATGAGACCCTGTATAGTGTGGGATGTGTAGAGTGAATGAATCAAACTCAGGAGATCTGGATTTGAAAATTACCACCTGGTCATGGAAACTCACTGAGACATGGCCCTGGTAAGACTGCTCCCTAAATATCCTGTATCCCTTGAAAACCTGTTAGGTTGCTGTAAGTCAAATATGACTGGACAGCACATTACAAAACAGATATCAAGAGTTTGATGTGGCTGTTGGGGTAGGGAAGCTCTTGGAAGACTGCTGTGGGAAATTTCAGAGCACTTTGAAGGCAAAGTCATGCATGTTGTGCAGAACTTGACATTGCTGTCGTTACAGCTGTTACAGAGCCACATGTTCAGACTACTTTTGGATCATGATTGTTTTGGTATTGCTTCCAGTTGTTGCAGCCTGATCCTATGGACAAGAGTTATGACAGCTAGACAGAGGAGCAAGACAAGGCTTGTGGCATTTAGATGGTGGGGGTTGGCTGAATGGGGCCAAGAAGCGGTTAATGACTTTTCAAAGGATGTTGTAAGCCGCCTAGAGTGGTCACAATTGACTAGATAGGCGGGGTATAAATGA